TTAGTCCTTGTTTAGTCCTGGTTTAGTCCTTTTAGACCTGTTTAGTCCTGTTTGTCCTGGTTTAGTCCTGTTTTTTTTAGTCTGGTTTAGTCTTTTTTTCCTGTTTAGTCCTGGTTTAGTCCTGTTTAGTCCTTTTAGTCCTGTTTTAGTCCTGTTTTTGTCCTTTTAGTCCTTTTTGTCTTTTTAGTCCTGTTTAGTCTTGTTTTTGTCCTCTGTTTTAGTCCTGTTTTAGTCTGTTTTAGTCCTGGTTTAGTCCTGTTTAGTCTGTTTTAGTCCTGTTTTAGTCCTGGTTTAGTCTTGTTTTTGTCCTCTGTTTTAGTCCTGGTTTAGTCCTGGTTTAGTCCTGTTTAGTCTTTTTTTCTGTTTCTCTGTTTTTAGTCCTGTTTAGTCTGGTTTAGTCCTGGTTTAGTCTTGTTTTTGTCCTGGTTTAGTCCTGGTTTAGTCCTGGTTTAGTCTTGTTTTTGTCCTGTTTTAGTCCTGGTTTAGTCTTGTTTTTGTCCTCTGTTTTAGTCCTGGTTTAGTCCTGTTTTAGTCCTGTTTAGTCCTGGTTTAGTCTTGTTTTTGTCCTCTGTTTTAGTCCTGGTTTAGTCCTGGTTTAGTCTTGTTTTTGTCCTGTTTTAGTCCTGGTTTAGTCTTGTTTTTGTCCTCTGTTCGTCTCTTTAATCTTTCTGATCTTTTATTAAACCTGATAATTGTGTCAGATGCCCTTCCCTGTGACGTCCTCCTGCTCGTCCACACAGTCCGGAGTGTTTGTCGTTGAGTGTTTTCGTCCGTGTGGAGCTCGGAGCGTCTGGAGTCTCCCAGAGGAAATCTTCCTGTTGGACTCGGGGCTCAGGGGAAAAAGCTCCGGGTCCCAGGGCCTCGTCTCGCGCCCTGATCCACCCAAAACTATTTACATTCCCACACTCAGAACTGTCCCCCGCTCAACCGGTTTAGACCGGGTTTAGACCGGGTTTAGACCGGGTTTAGACCGGGTTTAGACCGGGTTTTAGACCGGGGTTAGACTGGGTTTAGACCGGGTTTAGACTGGGTTTAGACTGGGTTTAGACTGGGTTTAGACCGGGTTTAGACCGGGTTTAGACCGGGTTTAGACCGGGTTTAGACGGGTTTAGACTGGGTTTAGACTGGGTTTAGACTGGGTTTAGACCGGGTTTAGACCGGGTTTAGACTGGGTTTAGACTGGGTTTAGACCGGGTTTAGACCGGGTTTAGACCGGGTTTAGACTGGGTTTAGACCGGTTTAGACCGGGTTTAGACCGGGTTTAGACTGGGTTTAGACGGGTTTAGACCGGGTTTAGACCGGGTTTAGACCGGGTTTAGACTGGGTTTAGACTGGGTTTAGACCGGGTTTAGACCGGGTTTAGACCGGGTTTAGACTGGGTTTAGACCGGGTTTAGACCGGGTTTAGACCGGGTTTTAGACGGGTTTAGACTGGGTTTAGACCGGGTTTAGACGGGTTTAGACTGGGTTTAGACTGGGTTTAGACCGGGTTTAGACCGGGTTTAGACCGGGTTTAGACCGGGTTTAGACTGGACCGGGTTTAGACGGGTTTAGACCGGGTTTAGACTGGGTTTAGACCGGGTTTAGACCGGGTTTAGACGGGTTTAGACTGGGTTTAGACCGGGTTTAGACCGGGTTTAGACCGGGTTTAGACTGGGTTTAGACCGGGTTTAGACCGGGTTTTTAGACCGGGTTTTAGACCGGGTTTTAGACCGGGTTTAGACTGGGTTTTAGACTGGTTTAGACCGGGTTTAGACCGGGTTTAGACTGGGTTTAGACCGGGTTTAGACCCGGGTTTAGACCGGGTTTAGACCGGGTTTAGACCGGGTTTAGACCCGGGTTTAGACTGGGTTTAGACCGGGTTTAGACCGGGTTTAGACTGGTTTAGACGGGTTTAGACGGGTTTAGACCGGGTTTAGGACCGGGTTTAGACCGGGTTTAGACTGGATTTAGACCGGGTTTAGACCGGGTTTAGACTGGGTTTAGACCGGGTTTAGACCGGGTTTAGACTGGGTTTAGACCGGGTTTAGACTGGGTTTAGACTGGGTTTAGACCGGGTTTAGACTGGGTTTAGACCGGGTTTAGACGGTTTAGACGGGTTTAGACGGGTTTAGACTGGGTTAGACCGGGTTTAGACCGGGTTTAGACCGGGTTTAGACTGGGTTTAGACCGGGTTTAGACCGGGTTTAGACCGGGTTTAGACCGGGTTTAGACTGGGTTTAGACCGGTTTTAGACCGGGTTTAGACTTTAGACCGGTTTAGACCGGGTTAGACTGTTTAGACCGGGTTTTAGACTGGGTTTAGACCGGGTTTAGACTGGGTTTAGACCGGGTTTAGACCGGTTTAGACCGGGTTTAGACCGGGTTTAGACCGGGTTTAGACCGGGTTTAGTTCTGTTTTGGTCAGGGTTTAGTCCTGCTTTGCCCCTGGTTTAGTCCTCTCTTAGTCTTGGTTTAGACCAAGTTTAGACCAAGACCAAGACCTTGATTTAGTTCATTGTTGGTCAAGGTTTAGTCCTGGTTTAGTTCTGGATTAGACTTCATTTAGTCCTGGTTTAGTCCTTGGTTTAGCTCTGGTTTAGACCTGTTTTAGTCCTAGTTTAGTCCTGGTTTAGTCCTGGTTTAGTCCTGGTTTAGTTCTGTTTTGGTCAGGGTTTTGTCCTGGTTTTGTCCATGCTTAGTCCTGGTTTTGATCAAGTTTAGACCAAGACCAAGACCTTGATTTAGTTCTGTGTTGGTCAAGGTTTAGTCCTAGTTTAGTCCTTGGTTTAGCTCTGGTTTAGTCCTGTTTTAGTCCTGGTTTAGTCCTGGTTTAGTCCTGGTTTAGACCTGTTTTAGTCCTGGTTTAGTTCTGTTTTGTTCATAGTTTAGTCTTGTCTTGCCCCTGGTTTTGTCCTCGATTAGTCCTAGTTTAGACCTGATTTAGACCTGGTTTAGACCAAGTTTAGTCCTGGTTTGGTTCTGGTTTAGTCCTTGGTTTACCTCAGGTTTAGACCTGGTTTAGTCCTGGTTTAGTTCTGTTTTACACTTCGTTTTGTCCTGGATTAGACCTGTTTTGGTCTTGATTAGTCCTGGTTTTAGTCATTGTCTAGTTCTTGTGTAGCCCTAGTTTAGACCTGGTTTAGTCCTAATCTTATCTTGAGTTAGACCTGGTTTAGTCCTGGTTTAGTTCTACCTTAGTCTTGGTTCAGTTGTGATTTGACCCTGGTTTGTTTAGTCCTGATTTAGTCCTGGTTTAGTCCTGGTCCTGATTTAGTCCTGGTTTAGTCCTGTTTTCTCTGGTTTGCTCCTCGTTTAGACCTGGTTCAGTTCTGGTTCATTCATGAATTTTTTAGATGCTTGTTTTTATTTTGTCGAGTCATTTTTAGTCCTGGTTTAATCCTGGTTTAGTCCTGGTTTAATCCTGGTTTAGTCCTGGTTTAATCCTGGTTTAGTCCTGGTTTAGTCCTGGTTTAGTCCTGGTTTAGTCCTGGTTTAGTCCTGGTTTAATCCTGGTTTAGTCCTGGTTTAGTCCTGGTTTAGTCCTGGTTTAGACCTGGTTTAGTCCTGGTTTAGTCCTGTTTTGGACCTGGTTTAGACCTGTTTTAGTCCTGGTTTAGTCCTGTTTTGGACCTGGTTTAGACCTGGTTTTGTCCTGGTTTAGACCTGGTTTAGTCCTGGTTTTGTCCTGGTTTTGTCCTGGTTTAGTCCTGGTTTAGTCCTGGTTTAGACCTGGTTTAGTCCTGGTTTAGACCTGGTTTTAGACCTCCTGGTTTAGTCCTGGTTTAGTCCTGTTTTAGTCCTGGTTTAGTCCTGTTTTGGACCTGGTTTAGACCTGGTTTTAGTCCTGGTTTAGACCTGGTTTAGACCTTGTTTAGTCCTGTTTTAGTCCTGGTTTTAGACCTGGTTTAGTCCCTGGTTTAGACCTGGTTTAGTCCTGGTTTAGTCCTGGTTTAGTCCTGTTTTAGTCCTGGTTTAGACCTGGTTTAGTCCTGGTTTAGACCTGGTTTAGACCTGGTTTAGACCTGGTTTGTCCTGGTTTTAGTCCTGTTTTGGACCTGGTTTAGTCCTGGTTTAGTGTTTAGTCCTGGTTTAGTCCTGGTTTAGTACCTGGTTTAGTCCTGGTTTTAGTCCTGGTTTTGGACCTGGTTTAGTCCTGGTTTAGACCTGGTTTAGTCCTGGTTTAGACCTGGTTTAGACCTGGTTTAGTCCTGGTTTAGTCCTGGTTTAGTCCTGGTTTAGACCTGGTTTAGACCTGGTTTAGTCCTGGTTTAGACCTGGTTTAGTCCTGGTTTAGTCCTGGTTTCCTGGTTTTGTCCTGGTTTAGTCCTGGTTTAGACCTGGTTTAGTCCTGGTTTAGTCCTGGTTTTAGACCTGGTTTTAGTCCTGGTTTAGTTTCCTGGTTTTGGACCTGGTTTAGTCCTGTTTAGTGTGTGTTGATGTGTCGACCTTGTTGGACCCCGTTTAGTCCTGGTTTAGTCCTGGTTTAGACTGGTTTAGTCCTGGTTTAGACCTGGTTTAGACCTGGTTTAGACCTGGTTTAGACCTGGTTTTTAGACCTGGTTTAGACCTGGTTTAGTCCTGGTTTAGACCTGGTTTAGTCCTGTTTACCTGTTTCCTGGTTTAGACCTGGTTTAGACCTGGTTTAGTCCTGGTTTAGACCTTTTAGTCCTGGTTTAGACCTGTTTTGGACCTGCTTTTCCTCTGTATTAAACCTGTTTTTGTGTGTGTTGATGTGTCGACCTTGTTGGACCCCGTTTAGTCCCGGTTAAGTCCTGGATTAGTCCGTCTTTGGTCCTGGCTTAGTTCCTGTTCCTTATTTGGTCATGAATGCATTTCACACTCACTTGATTTAACGCCATTTAAATCCACAATAATCCAGCAGGTTTTTCCAGCTCCGGATCTTCTACAAACGTTTGTAAGTTTTATAAAAAAGTCTTAAACTAAAGTCTCGTCCGTGAAGGAAACATTAGAGCAGAAACACGTGGTTTTTGGTGTAAATGGTGAAAATAAAGGTTCTTACCTTGTGATGTGGACGGACGAGATTAAGTGTAGAAATGTGAGAAATGCAGCAGCTCTTCTGTGCGGATGAGAGCGAATGAAGGAGAGAGAGAAGAGGAGGAGAGGAAGAGAGGAGGAGAGGAGAGAGGGAGGAGAGAGGAGAGGAGAGGAGAGAGGGAGGAGAGGAGGAGAGATGGGGCCGTCCCTGGTTTATTTAGAACAAATTACCGAGAGAAAGAGAGAGAGAAACAGAAGGAAAGAGAGAGAAGAGGAGAGGAAGAGAGAGGAGGAGAGAGAGAGGAGGAGAGAGGAGAGAGAGGAGGAGAGAGAGAGAGAGGAGGAGAGGAGAGAGAGAGAGGAGAGAGGAGAGAGAGGAGGGAGAGAGGAGAGAGAGAGAGGAGAGGGAGGAGAGAGGAGGAGATGGGGCCGTCCCTGGTTTATTTAGAACAAATTACCGAGAGAAAGAGAGAGAGAAACAGAAGGAAAGAGAGAGGAGGGGAATCAAATATTGACTCTAGAAAATATAGGGCTCTGAGTTTGATCAGATTTTAAGTTATTTCTGTTCGAAAGTTTTAAGTTGAAATTTTTGGTGAAAAATTAGGCGAGGGAGGAGGAGGAGTCAGGTGAGGGAGGAGGAGGAGTCAGGTGAAGGGGAGGAGGAGGAGTCAGGTGAAGAGGAGGAGGAGTCAGAAGAGGAGGGTCAGGTGAAGAGGAGGGAGGGGTCAGGTGAAGAGGAAGAGGAGGAGTCAGGTGAAGAGGAGGAGGAGACAGGTGAAGGAGGAGGAGGAGTCAGGTGAGGAGGAGGAGGAGTGAGGAAGGGAGGAGGAGTCAGGTGAGGGAAGGAGGAGGAGGAGGAGGAGACAGGTGAAGAGGAGGAGGAGGAGTCAGGTGAGGGAAGGAAGGAGGAGTCAGGTGAAGAGGAGGAGGAGGGAGGAGGAGTCAGGTGAAGAGGAGGAGGAGACAGGTGAAGGGAGGAGGGTCAGGTGAGGGAATCAGGTGAGGGAAAGGGGAGGAGTCAGGTGAGGAGGGAACAGGTTTCACTTCTGCCACTGGTGAAAAATTCTAAATAAACTTGCATGTTGTCGCTTTAACTCACTGGGGGGGTGGTGCTAACTGTAGGCACTGCTCTGTCTGAGGCTCTGTTGCTTTCAGACCAACTCCAGTTGGAGCCACTGGGACTCAGTGTTTATGATATAAACCTGGGCTCAACAAACCCCCGGGCTGCAGGACTAAACCAGAACCAGGACTAAACCAGGACTAAACCAGGTCTAAACCAGGTCTAAACCAGGTCTAAACCAGGACTAAACCAGGACTAAACCAGGACTAAACCAGGACTAAACCAGGACTAAACCAGGACCCCCCACAGACTCCTGCTACTGCGACTACTACTTCTACTTCTACTACTTGTTTAGTTTCTTTCTTTAATGAGACATGGACACATGTTTGTTCAGGTTCATGTTTGTCTCCAGAGTTGATGTTCGTCTGTCGTCTCGGGCAGATTCATTGATTGATCGTGTTTAATTGACTTTATCTCTCAGCTCTTCTTCCTGGAGACGTGGAGCTGGTTTTGGTTTAACGAGGAAACCGGAGAAACTAGAGGAAACTCACCAACACACAGAGAAACACACAAACTCCACACAGGAAAGACCAGGGATCAAACCTGGAACCATCTTGCTGTGAGGCATGAGTGCTCGACTCGGGGCTGTGGTACTGCAGTATTAGTACTGGGCTGTGGTACTGCAGTATTAGTACGGGGCTGTGGTACTGCAGTATTAGTTACGGGCTGTGGTACTGCAGTATTAGTACGGGGCTGTGGTACTGCAGTATTAGTACAGGCTGTGGTACTGCAGTATTAGTACGGGGCTGTGGTACTGCAGTATTAGTACAGGCTGTGGTACTGCAGTATTAGTACGGGGCTGTGGTACTGCAGTATTAGTACGGGGCTGTGGTACTGCAGTATTAGTACGGGGCTGTGGTACTGCAGTATTAGTACAGGCTGTGGTACTGCAGTATTAGTACGGGGCTGTGGTACTGGGCGTGTGTGTCTATTGTTTTGGTTTGATCCGGGCACAAACTACAACAGCTGATACTTCTATAAATACAAACGCCAAATGTACTCTAAAAATACTGCACTTTTAATCGCCGTGGTGACAATACACCAGACAAGATACCAAACCTGTATTGTACTCACACTAATACTACCACTAATACTACTACTGCTTATACTACTACCACTAATACTACTGCAAATACTACCACTTATACTCACACTAATACTACTACTGCTAATACTAATACTACTAATACTGATAATACTACTGCAAATACTACTACTAATACTACTGCTAATACTACTACTACTATACTACTAATACTACTACCATACTACTAACTACTACTACTACTACTACTACTCCTCCTGTTCTTTCTTCGGTCTGTGTGTTTGTCCTGATGAGTTTTCAGTTTTTCAGTTTTCAGTTTGGAGTGTTTCAGTTTGGAGTGTTTCAGTTTGGAGTGTTTCAGTTTGGAGTGTTTCAGTTTGGAGTGTTTCAGTTTGGAGTGTTTCAGTTTGGAGTGTTTCCTGTAAAAGGGTCAAATCTCTCCAGTCGGAAAAGTAAAAATAACTTTTGTGTTTGGCCCAGAAATGACCAGAGATCAGAAGTAAACACACGAGAGACGAGCGGTTCTCATAGAAACACAAACACAAACACTTTAAAACTTTTAATATTTACTGTTTAAGAAAAAACTGAAATCAAAACTTTGAACTAATCCTAGATTAGTGTATTTCAGAACAGGTTTGTGGAGGTCTTGGTCTCCAGCTTGGCCTTGGGACTGTTTTTTTTGCGGTCTTTTCTCTGTTTCGATGGTGTTTGGTTCTAGTCTTGTCTTGGACTCAACCGAGCCTGGACTTGGTCTTGTCTCGGTCTTGGAGGGGCTCAGACTCAGTCTTGTCTTAAAGGCTCTTGGACTCAGTCTTGTCTCGGACTTGTTGTCGTTGTTGTTGTTGTTTGTGTCGTTGTTGTTTTTTTGTTGTTGTTGTTGTCATTGTTGTCGTTGTTGTTTTTGTGGTTGTGGTTGTTGTTGTCGTTGTTGTTTTTGTGGTTGTGGTTGTTGTTGTTGTTGTTGTTGTTGTCGTTGTTTTTTTGTTGTTGTTGTTGTCGTTGTTGTCGTTGTTGTTTTTGTGGTTGTGGTTGTCGTTGTTGTTGTCATTGTGGTTGTTGTTGTTGTCGGTGTTTTTGTTGTGGTTGTTGTTTTTTTGTTGTTGTGGTTGTTGTTTTTGTGGTTGTCGTTGTTGTTGTCATTGTGGTTGTTGTTGTTGTCGGTGTTTTTGTTGTGGTTGTTGTTTTTTTTGTTGTTGTGGTTGTTGTTGTTATCGTTGTTGTTTTTTTGTTGTTGTTGTCGTTGTTGTTTTTGTGGTTGTGGTTGTCGTGGTTGTGGTTGTCGTTGTTGTGGTTGTTGTCGGTGTTTTTGTTGTTGTTGTGGTTGTTGTTATTGTTGTTGTGGTTGTTGTTTTGTTGTGGTTGTGGTTGTCGTTGTTGTTGTCATTGTGGTTGTTGTTGTTGTCGGTGTTTTTGTTGTGGTTGTTGTTTGTGTCGTTGTTGTTGTCGTTGTTGTTGTTGTCATTGTTGTTGTTTTTTTGTTGTTGTCGTTGTTGTTGTCATTGTTGTTGTTTTTTTGTTGTTGTCATTGTTGTCGTTGTCGTTCAGATAATCGGTTCTTTCTGGTCAGATTTTGTTCAAAAAAATCCATAAACTTCAAGTGTAACAGATGGTCAGACAGAGCAGTGCGTGCGGTTAGCGTGGCCCCGGTGTGATGTGAGTGTGTGAGTCTGAACACAGTTGTCGTTGTTTCGTCGTGTGTTTGTGCGTCTGATTTGTGATTGTGCGACTTTAATCCTCTGATCTGAGGCCGAAGTGAAACACGAGACGATTTTCTCCATTTAAGGATCTATCGCTCCAAGAGACGGAGAGAGAGAAACAGAGAGAAACAGAGAGCAGAGGAGAGGAGAGGAGAGGGAGGGAGGGAGGGAGGGAGGGAGGGAAAAAATGAAATGATTCTACTGGACAAAAACACACAGAGAGAGAGGGGGGTGAGAGAGAGAAGAATAGAGAAGGAAAAGAGAGAGAGAAGGAAGGGTAGAGAGAGAGGAGGGAGAGGGGGAGAAAGAGAAGAGAGAGAAGAGAAAGAGAGAGAGGGACAAGAGAGAGGGAGAGGAGAGAGAAGAGAAAGAGAGAAGAAGAAGAGAGAGAAAAAGAGAGAAGAGAAAGAGAGAAGAAGAGAGAGAAGAGGGGGGAGAGAGAGAGAAGAAGAGAGAGTGAGAAGAGAGAGAGAAGAAGAGAGAGAGAAGAAGAGAGAGGGAGAAGAGAGAGAGAAGAGAAAAAGAGAGGGAGAAGAGAAGAAGAGAGGGGGTTGGAGAGAGAAGAAGGGAGAGGGAAAAGGAAAAGAGAGAAGAGAGAGAGGGGAGAGAAGAAGAGAGAGAAGACAAGAGAAGAGAAAGAGAGAGAGAAGAAGAGAGAGGGACAAGAGAGAAGAGGGGGGAGAGAGAGAGAGAAGAAGAGAGGAAGAAGAGAAGAAGAGAGGGACAAGAGAGAGAAGAGGGGGGAGAGAGAGAGCGAAGAAGAGAGAGAGAAGAAGAGAGAGGGACAAGAGAGAGAAGAGGGGGGAGAGAGAGAGAGAGGAGAAGAGAGAGAGAAGAAGAGAGAGAGAAGAAGAGAGAGGGAGAAGAGAGGGTTGGAGAGAGAAGAAGGGAGAGGGAAAAGAAAAAGAGAGAAGAGAGAGAGAAGAGGGGGGGAGAGAAGAAGAGAGAGAAGACAAGAGAAGAGAAAGAGAGAAGAGAGAAGAGAAAGGAGAGAGAGAGAGAAGAGAGAGAGAGAGGAGAAGAGAGAGAGAAGAGAAAAAGAGAGGGAGAAGAGAAGAAGAGAGGGTTGGAGAGAGAAGAAGGGAGAGGGAAAAGAGAAAGAGAGAGAGAAGAGAGGGTTGGAAAGAGAGAAGAAGAGAGAGAGACGAGAGAAGAGAGAGAGAGAGAGAAGAGAGAGGTAATTTTTGAAAAATAGACAAAAAGAAAAGGCACAGTTCTACTTCGACCTCAT